CTTGAAAATCGCCCCACTTGGGATCGGCGAGAAAGGACGGAGGGATGAAGGACACTTGCGTCCGGTAACGTTCCCATAGGGCGCGACGGACCAGGTCCTGGTAGACCACCTCGACAGAGGAAATCAAACCCATGGTAGGCAACCCTCTCCCGGCATCCGACATGACAACGCGAGGCTTCTTAGCCCAGCAAGGAAACCCTTGGTTAGTTGATATTATTCGGGAAATTTTGTTATAGAACTTCAACCTTATTCAGAGGTACTTTGAACGTATGATACTTATTTGTTTTTATAAATAGATATTTGTATCGTTGCTCGAAGCATTTCCAATACTTTAATAAAATCTATATATTTCGGCATATCAATGATCACTGTTTGGAGTGGCCATCTTTACAATTTCATTACTTCAATTCCAAACATTTTAATTCCCTTCCATCTAAATCTAACTAAAGAGCTTGGACTAAAGAAAACTTCGTAACATTCAACATATGTCATAATAATCTTTAAGATATTTCCAGTTGAATATACAGTGCATAGTATACGAACAGTTCTGTACAGTATATTGTGTATGTCAATCAGTAACATTAAAAAGACCTCTTAAGAATTCTTTAAAATATGTGCAGTTGAATGCTACCAAGTATGCGTACAGTGCATTGAATTTGTTATTCAAGTGAAGTAATGTCTGAAATACGCAATAATAATCCTTCAAGATATGTGCAGCTGAATATGCATTAAGGGGAAGTTCCAAGAAGTTTTCAGAAATAGCATGAGGCAATCAAATTTGATATACCTCCTTTTTTCACGCTTTAGGAATATACGTCAAGGACATCTTTTTCTACTTTTGGTATGTGATTTGCGTGAAAAATCATAGAAAAAGAGGTAAAAAGTGGGAAAATGTACTTGGAACCACTTTTTCATTTGATAAAAATACCTACTTGGAACAGGTCCTAACGTTACATAGTATACGTTCAGTACTGTTTATTGTATTACGTTCATTTCCAATCGGAGGTAGTATACTTTACTCAATTGAAGTAATATTCAAAACAGGACTACTCTTCCATACAAAATCAATAGAGGGATTTGACGATACTACAAAAGTAGTGCGCACTACGAATCACGGAGTAATTGGACGATTCACAGGGAGACTGCGCCCAAAGCGTAAGCGGTATACAATGCACACATACTTTAATCAAGTCTAAGTAACCGTCCCAAATGCGTCAAAATAATCAATAATACTTTAATCAAGTTCAACGTAACTGTCAA